ACTTACCATCATATTTGGAAATTTCAGCATCCACTCCATCCTTTTTAGCCTCAGATTTCTGCCATCTGAAAATATTAAACAAAATGAACATATGTTAAGTCACAAAGCTATAAACAGTGTGTTTAACATTAATTGTACAACAGCAAGGACATTTACTTGGAAGTCTTAACACCAGCAAACAGAGTTTTATAACCATCAGGAAAACCTCCCAAGCAGTATTTTTGTTACGACAAATGGCCATTCTAACGTCTAGGCTTGTGAGAGAAGGTCAATGGATAGTGGACCATTTTTACAGCAAAACTGCCTCCATTGGTGACTTCTCTTAAAAGGAAAAAACCTGCTTTATTATATGCATTCTCTAATGCTGTGCAGAGCAGTCATAGCGAGTAATATTATTGCTTGATGGACTTAAGGAGATGGCATGACAAGCCTTTAGGCCACACGTGATGAAGACTACTGTTTAGTAGGTAAAAAAACACTATAACACTCTTTTTTTTATCTAAATTATTACTGAGCTACATAAACTATCTGCCTGAACAAATGCAAAAACAATGTCTAACAGATCACCTGAGGATCTACATAGCTAGCATCTGCACCTGTTGCACTTTAAAAGGGTATTTTACCCTTTAATCTTAGTCGTTCAGAAGGAAAAACTTTTTGACATAATTCCAAATTACTCAACAAAACAAAATAGGTGAAAATTTAGTGGAAGAAAGATGATGTTATTTAGGGTGGGACATAGTGAAGAAAACATGAACTTCTTTCAAACTTCCACATGGAACACCACAGAGTTGTTGAGAATCTTTGCTGAAAATAAGTTCATTTATGCTGTAGGAATTAAAAGGCAACATAGGGTTATAGTTTTAAAAGAGACAAAATATGTATTTTCAACGCTTGCAAAATATGCTTCAACCTGCATGACTGTTCTGTCAAAACCAGAGCCTATTTACACACATGTGCACCGCGTACCAGAAAAAGGCTTGTCACTGTGCAAACTAAAAAACACGCACCCTGCAAAACTAAATGAACATAAGCCGATAAAGAATTTGAAGTTTAGCTTTTAATACCTGCTTTCGAATTCCTGCCGCTTTGCAAATGGTTCCGCAAGAAAAACAGAATCTTCATGCTCTAAAGCGATTTCTGGGGGTTGATACGCTTCAGTTTCGGCCGCTTTCTTTTTCTCTTTGCCCTGTAAAACGGTAAAAATAGAACAAAGTCAGCGATACCGGCAAATTTGAAGCAATCAAAAGTAATACTTTCCATTTCTTACCTTATCTTCTGGCTCATTTTCACTATCTATTTCAACATCATCTTCGTCAGGTTCATTGACGTCTTCAGCTGATGACAAAGTACAAAGAAGTGCTACAAGTCCTACACACACCAACAATTTAGGCCTCATAATGAAAAACAGTTTAGCTACGATTAATATTTCGAGGCCTAGTCGAAGGTTTATAGAATCTTAGGTTCGGAGTAAAACCGTTGAGGAGCCAAGCCGCTAAAATAAGGACAGAGAGAAATTTAAAATTGGACGCGTGGATGAAATTGAATGGTCAAAAGGAACGACACATGGCTTGTGCTCCGTGAAAGACTGGACCCGATCTGCTCTATTAGCCAATCATGGGATTTGTATTATCCGGCGGATTGGCACAACATTTTACTTTTGTTTCTCCTTGAAAATTCGCAGTTGGATATACCGTATAGCATGTGTATACCTTATAGCAAGTGTACAGGTGTCTACCATTTCTGTATCTTTTCTGGATACGCCCGTTTTGATTGCTACAGATTCAGTAGCCTGTATTTTCGCGACGTCCCTGCTACCTGAGAGCCTGGTGCGCACACGTTACTGATGAGGGGACCTGCAATTGCGTGACAGATGCAAACCACAGTCATTGCGAGAACCAACATGGCTGTCATTGTTACCCTGCTCCTTGTTTTAATAACCTTCCTGTGCACGTCACAGTACTCCGAGGCACGATCTTTCGTTATAGATTACGAGAACAACTGTTTTCTCAAAGATGGCAAACCTTTTCGTTACATTTCTGGATGCTTCCATTACTTTAGGGTGCCCCGTTTCTATTGGAAAGACAGACTGTTGAAAATGAAAGCAGGCGGTTTGAACGCGGTCCAGACTTACATCGCTTGGAATATTCACGAACCAGTTTATGGCCAGTTCAACTTTGAGGGTGATGCAGATCTTGTGAGTTTTATAGAAATGGCGAACAACCTCGGGCTTCTGGTCATCATCCGAGCTGGTCCTTATATTTGTGCAGAATGGGAGTTTGGCGGGTATCCCCCTTGGTTGTTAAAGAAAAATTCGTCGATCATTTTAAGATCGACGGACAATAAGGAATACCTGTTCTATGTTGAGTCCTGGATGAGCGCACTTTTACCAAAACTCAAGCCATTGCTTTACTCGAATGGAGGACCCATCATATCTGTCCAAGTTGAAAATGAATATGGATATTATTTTGCCTGTGATCACGCATATCTACAGTTTCTCGAACAGGTTTTCCGTGAACACCTTGGTAATGACGTAATTCTGTTTACTGTAGATGGTGACAGCGAGTCCCTTTTAAAGTGTGGCTCTATCCCCTCTCTATATGCCACAATAGATTTTGGTTCTAAAACCGACCCAGAAAAAGCATTTTCAGTTATGAGAAAATACTCCCCCAGGGGGCCACTTGTAAACACTGAATTTTACCCAGGGTGGCTAGATGTGTGGAGTGTACCTCATCAAACAAGGTCTGCAGAAATTGTTGCTAAGACATTTGACAAGATGTTATCAATGAATGCGTCTGTCAACTTTTACATGTACATGGGAGGTACAAACTTTGGTTTCATGAATGGTGCAGGGTACGATCAAGTAAAAGGTTTATTGCCGAGTATTACAAGCTATGATTATGATGCTCCTTTGACAGAAGCTGGTGATACAACCACAAAGTTTCACATTTTGCGAGAGATAATTTCCAAGTACGAGAAAATACCTGAGATTCCCATCCCACCAAACACCACAAAGTTTGCATACGGTAAAGTTCAAATGACCCAAATTTCAACCTTCCTTGATGCTGTGCCAAAGCTTTCTGCTCCTCATGGCCCCGTGAATTCAACATTTCCTTTGACCATGGAAAACCTTGGACAAAGCTATGGATTCATTCTTTACCAAACAGAAATTCCTGTAGAGTTTGCTCAGTCAACTGTTGTCTTAAATATCAGTAGTTTAGCACGTGACCGGGCCATTATTTTTGTAGGAAAAATTCGCAAAGCGGTATTGTTCCGTCATCCTGGAGATCAAGCTGTTGTTCTGAACATTGGGATCTTTTTACAGCTTGATGTGCTAGTTGAGAATATGGGTAGATGCAATGGTGGTCTGGCGGAGCCTAAAGGAATCCTGGGAAATATTACCTTAAATGGTAAAGTCCTTATGAACTGGCAGATTTATTCTGTTAACTTAGATAATCTGTTTTCAGGTGCTTTTGACTTTCCTTGGAATCCTGATAAAAATATTAGTGGTTTAGCTAACAAGGATTATGATTTTGCTCCTTCTTTTTTCTATGGAGAATTTCCTGTAAATTCCTCATACGACACATTTCTCCACCTGCCTGGATGGAGTAAAGGGCAAGCATTTGTAAATGGTTTTAATTTGGGTCGCTACTGGCCTGTGATTGGTCCACAAATCACTCTGTTTGTACCAGCAAATGTAATATCACTCAAGCAGAAAACTGCCAGTGTTCTGATATTTGAGTTGGATGGTGCTCCATGTGAACTTCCAGAATCTTGTTATGTTGAATTTGTGTCAACTCCATCTATAAATGGAACTGTTCACCCCATATCAAAATGAATGAATGCCATATTTTTTTCTGAAAAACACTCTGCAATGATTTTCACCATTAATATGAAAAAATGCAGAAGACAGCCTGCCAGTGACCATGAGTGAGGAAATCAAATATGCAGCAGGTTTTGTTTTTTGTTTTTGTTACATACTAGTATACAAGGTAGACCTTGCGAGAAAACGAATCCATAAGTTACTGAAATAATTTTTTATGCATAAGCTGGCTTTGCGTTTCTATTAATCTTAAAGGTATGATGGTCCTTCACGGCAAAATCCAGTTTAGTCAAAGTAGTGGATCAAAGAAAGGGTGCGTTATCTGGTCACCTCACCACCAAACCATTGATTTCGTTGGTGGCAAGATGACCGTAAACCCATACAGAAGCTTACGGATACAAGTAACAGTCCATTTTTTATTGATTCAATGCGGTATTTACAGCTAATTAAATACTAGCCAGTGACGTCCGATCTTAGTAGTTTATTTTTAGAACAAATGGCATAACATTTCCTGATAACTGGAAAGAGTGCATGGAAAACCTTTGAGACTACTACTGTACCATGGTAACCACGTCCCACAATGCAAAGTTTCTAACATACAATGTGACGCTTGACCAACGTTTGGTCAAGATGGCTAAATGTTGACTAAGTTCGTTTCTTCGTTTTTATGGACCGAGACGAAGTCGAGGTCAAAACGCTTGAAAAGAAGGAGGTCAATATAATTTAGCCATCTTGACCGTAAAACCGCGGTCATTAAAGGATTTTTAATATGCCCAAAAAGAGAACTTTTTCTCGCGGGAACAACGCCAGCGAACACAGGATTTGCTTCATCTTTCCCCCTCCACTCGCGGATTCAGCCATGTAAAAAACGTTTGAACAGCACTTAGCCGTATACTGAGACAGCCTTTTTGTCTCTTTTAAGCATTCTGGATCAATGTGGACTTCCCATCTTAGATCAAGACGCTCAGTTTCGCTGCTAGCCTTGTTAAGCCTGCCATGCGTGCGATATCCCGATAAATCAAATCCACTGAACAAGCAATTGGGTCTGCGCTACTCGGGCATTGTTGAGGATAAAGCCGGTCTATCCTTTCTTGATCGTATTCATTTTTTAACGTGCTGTAAGTCAAGCGGTTTCATCGAGTTTTCAACAAAGAATAATTCTCTCTTGAGATGTATCAGCACGTGGGCTAACTTCATCGATACGAGCGCGCACCTTTTTTCCCCTTTTTTAAGACTTTATTCCCTCTGTGGAGTCTTATAAGGAATATTAAGAACACTCGGGAACTGATGGGCACTTTTATGGTCTCTTGGTGAAGCTCAGCTGTACACTCTATCAGCTCGCTTTTCTGATTTCACAGTTTTATTTTCTCGTACAGGTTCTTTGCTAGATCCTGTTCACTCATCATCTGCAAATTATTTGAAAGAAAACCGTGGGTTTAGTGGTCACAAAATGCTGACTTCAATAAAGTTTTTCATTGTTAGTTAATATATTAAATTCCTGGCAAATATTGTGCGTCTATGAGCCCATACCTTTCGGCGAACTGGTGATAACGTCAAGGGACTGATTTCGCCCAGTTTTTGGAAGTTTCAGAGCGATTGACGATAGCGTATTTCACCTTTACTCCCGCA